TAAGAATAAATTTGAAATTTATCTTATAATATCATCTAATTTTAAAATCTAATTTACAACTATAACAAAAAATAATACATTGCATAATTTATAATGTAAATAAATTAATAAATAAACTATAAGATTTGGTTATCATTGTAATTAATATAGTTATTAATAATAATATTATAATATATGTAATTCAAAAAACAAGAGTATGACCCTCACAAATAATAAATTTAATGTATAATAATTAGTGTTGATAGAAATATAGAATTTAGTAACATAAAATTGCACTCATATTTTAATAAAATTAAGAAAATAAATAAAGAATTGCAATGTGGGATAATTGATCAAGTAACTTGAAATAAATTCTAAAGTAGTATGAGTTAGTGATATTTTTCTCTCTTAAAATATCCCATAAACTAGTATTTTTTTTAATGTTCAATAAACGAGTATTAATGTTATTTTTTCCTTTTTTTTAATATCCTATGAGCTAGTATTAATTGTTTTAATCCCAATTAGCTAATTGCCTAATAGTATTAGTCTTTTTTTTTTTGTTGGATACGTAAATTTAAATTTTTTTGGTGAAGGATAGAGGTGGTGGGCCCTATCAACTAATTATTAATTTTAATAATTTTCTTCATTTTTCTCTCTTAAAGTTTGTTTAAAAAATACTATAAATATCTAAAAATAGTATTCTTTTAGTTTCTAAAAAAAAATTAAGAGTGATGCATTGTGTAATATCATTATTTTGTAAAAAAATGTTGCATACTGAGATGTTGTTTTCCTATCTGGATGTTTGTATAATTATTAATTATAATATAGTATTATAATATTATATCAAAATAATTTAAAAATATTAGGAAAAACTTCTATATTATAAGATTAAAACTAATAACTTTTCACATAAATTAGTATCACATCAAAGTATCAAACTTTAATTAATTCGTTTTACTCATCCAAAATTATTAAAATGAACTAACTATAATAATATATATTGAAATTGAAGTTGTTGGTTTATAACTTTATATTTTATTATTTTACTATACAAATAAAAATATAAAAGATCGTATAATATCATCTAATTTAAAAAATCTTATTATAATTATAAATAGAAAATAATATTTTACAAAAATTATAATATAAATAAATTAATAAATAAAATATAATATTTGGTTATTAATAAATTAAAGAAATTCATATTTTTAATATAGGATAATTGATAAAGCAACTTAAAATAAATTATAAAGTGGTATGAGTTAGTGTTAGTTTTCTCTCTTAAAATATCCTTTAAACTATTTTTCTTTACTATTCAATAAACTAATATTAGCATTATTTTTTTTAATATCTTATGAGCTAGTACTAATTTTTTAATCCCAATTAACTAATTAATTAATTATTAATCATATAATAAAATAATCCTATGAGATAATAGCCTAATAAAATTTTTATGTTTTTTTAGTAAGTAAATTTAAATTTTTGTTGACAAAAGATAGGGGAAGTGAACACCTAATTATTATTTTAAATATTTTTTTTTTTTTATCGTATAATTTAAGTGCCACCATCAGGCGTACACCTTTCTTATTCGTGACAGACGTACACCATCGGGCGTACACTCACGTAAGTCGTCTCACTCCAATTTATTGCATTCTAAAGTTTAGCTTACAACCATGCAAGTCATCTCACACCAATTTGTTGCATTCTACAGTTTGTTAGCAAATTGTTCCACAATTGTTCCACATCGAAGGATGTGGGAAGAACGGATCCTATAAAAGAAACAAACCAACCCATCCTTCAGGGTATTGATGTTGTAGGCCATGTGCAAGTAGGAAAGTTGTATTGTTGTTGTAGGTGTGCACGTAGGAAAATTGAGACCTCCGTAAATTCAGGACATCACTTGGACATAAGCAGTTAAAGAGTTCGACGCTTTAAATTCAGGGCGATTTTAGGTGGAGAATCATCGATTTTCATTTTTTCTATATGATTCGGGACGGGCGGGGCGATTTTAGGTGGAGAATCATCGAATCTCATTTTTCTATATGATTCCGGACGGGCGGGGCGATATTCAATCCGGATCGGGTCATTATTCTAGGTGGAGAATCATCTGTATCCCTTTTTTCTACATAATCCAGGATGGGCTGGGAGATACTCGATCTAGATCGGGTCGTCGAGGTGTCAGTTGAAGCTTTAAATCCATGACATCAGTTAGACATTAAGTAGTTGAGGCTTTTGTTGAGGCTTTAAATCTAGGGCGATTCTAGGTGGAGAATTTTCTGAATCTCATTTTTCTACATGACCCGAGACAGGATGGGCGACACCCGATCCAGATCGCCTGATTTCGTATCGGGTCACCCAATTTTAAAACATTTGTTCTAAAGATACCTTCTCACAAAGTAATTTTAAATTCTTAAATCACTTCCGTTCATGGTTGAAAACTCCAAATAACTAAAAAGGCATTTTTGTACTTTGTCCAATTTGATGGCTTGTGCCCATTAATATGCATAATTATTCAAGGTGGAAGAAATAGAACTAATAGATAACTAAAACTAGTTATGCACGTGCGTTCTATGTGATATTAAATATCAATAATTTTTATTTTAATTTTTATATTTTTAATTAGTTACCTTTTTTTTATTAAAATTATTGAAAACTATCCTTCATATTATATGAGAAACTCTTAATCATAATGTTTGTATTTTAGATAATAGATTTTTATTTGTAAGTATGAAATAATCTACTACTATAATTGTATTTAAATTATCTTATTTGAAAAAAAAGACATTAAAAAGAGGAAAAAGCGGAATTATTGTGTTTGGATAATATATTATAATTTCAAAAAATCTATTTAGTAATGTATTCTAATTTCAATATTTTAGCTTGTAGGGAAACTACAGGAAGGAATTATTTAGAAACTAGAAAATGGTAAAAAAGAGAGCACGGAACACATTTCTTATATATGAATAGTTTTCTTACACCATGACGCACATTTTATTTATCATCAATAACTAAATAGTGAACAACAACAATAATAAAATTATTTCAAATTGCTCATCCTTTAGATTTCAAATAGACTATTCTACCAATAAACCATAATACCAACAAAATAAACAATAATAATTATACAAACATTGAAGAACTTCCTTGAATAAGAGAGTGACTTAGCTAGGGCTCCCCATGAATCCTATCTTTATGCACATAGAAAGACACAATATTTGGAATTCTAACTTAAAGAAGGTAGCACATCCATCTCTCTATCTCTCTCTCACTCTCTCTTTTTCTCTCCAAAACCATACTCTCCCCTTAGTTCTAGCCCCAACATCTCTCTCTTTCTTATCTATTTTTCTCTTGCTCTCCTATTAGGAAAATATATCATGTTAAAATTTGTCTATATTTTATTAGTAAAAAATATCACTCTTGATTTCCATGTTATCATTATTATCTACATCATCTTAATAAATAATATCTATGACTCCACCCAACCTTATCTTTAGCAAGTGGGTCTTGGTCTCATAATTTTTCTTTTGAAATAATAGCAATTTATCATAATCTAAAATTTTTCTTTCAAAATAATAGCAATTTATCATAATCTAAAATTTTTTTATTTCAAGGTCCCATACCCTACATTCTCTTTAAACATAAACCTTTTTTATTCTTGCGAAATGTGTTCACCCCTTAACTCTATACCACTCGTTTTATAAGGTTTTTAATAAGGAGCCATAAATATTTTAAACAACCAATGGCATTTTCATAATTTAAATCAAGAGAGTTGAATGGGTTAAAATTATCAAACTACCCCTATTTATTTGAATAGGATTAAATAAGAATTTGAGTAAATTTTCTTGAGGAGCTAGCTATATTTATGAATTGAGCTAATTGCGATAATTTTCAATGAACCCCTTAACCCTCCTAATGATCTTCTTTTGGGAAAAAACAAGAAGGAATCACCACCACTCCCACTCACCATAGGGGGCCACCCTCTTTTGTCCCTTCTTAGTTTTAAATTTAGAACACCAGCAAGCAGCCATGAAGGACAAAAAATACAGCGTGCATTTCGCTTAAGATACACAATTTCTCTCTCTCTTCTTCTTCCTCAATATGCAGAGAAGTTTTGGCTTTGCCTCTTGAACTTCTGCCATGGAAAAGCAAGTAAACTCTGGAGTTACATATGCTCAGGTTCGGTGTCCTTCTCTCTCTGTCTCTCACTAAACTGATGGTCCTTCTTCCTTTTGACAATCTTCACCATATCTGGTTCTCTTGTTCTTCTCGCTTTCGCTCTGAACATATCACACACAGAGGGACCTTCGCTTTATCCTCCTCCATCTCTGATTCCTTCTTTTCTTTCTCGTTCTTGGCACAAGAGGCAGAGAACCCTTACCTTTTCTCCTCCCTCACCATTTCTGATTCTTTAATTCTTTCTCTCTCTCTGAAGTCTTTCTTTCTGACCCACCATCGCCCCTTCCCAAATTTTGATTCTCTTCATCATCTTGCAGATTGATGCATTCACTGATCGTATGTTCGGTGGGAACCCAGCTGCCATATGCTACCTTCCAGAGGAGAGAACCCACGAATGGATGCAGCTTGTTGCCAAGGATTTCAACCTCTCTGAGACCGCCTTCCTCCTCAAAATCCCCAACACCCATTCAAACAATGAGTTCAGCCTTCGATGGTTCACCCCAAAAGTCGAGGTATCTCTCTCTAGCTTCCATTGGATGTTAAACAAAATTCACCTCACTCATCTTCACTCATGGCCTTGGGTAATTTAATCTCTCCAGCTTTTACTGTAAATCAGAGCAAACGATAGTTTCCTCACCCTGTTTCTCTCATGGTCCTTGACATAACAGAGAAATTGAATCCTCCAAAGAGGGTGTTTGCCTTTCTTTTGAACAGGTTGATTTATGTGGACATGCCACTTTGGCTTCAGCCCACTTCCTCTTCAGCCAGCATGGGGGACTTCTCGATACCAAGACAATTGTATTCCACACGAGGTCGGGGATTTTGACGGCCAAGAGGGTTGGAGATGGTGGTCGTCTCATAGAGCTTGACTTTCCATTGATCCCGATATCAGAATGTGATGCTGATGATTTGGAGCTGGTGAAGAGCGCGCTCGGAAGTGCAGATATCGTATGGGCAGGAAAACCTGGAGGACATGGTTACCTGGTAACTCCTTTCCCTCCCTCATCAATTCACAGTGAATTTCTCAAGGTTTTGCCGATTCATTTGTGCAAATTGCCAGCTTACATATGAAATTGTCTGATACAATGTGAGATGGTTACCAACTCTGATGGATTATTGTGAACTGTGGAGGTTGAGGTCTCCAGCACTGATGAGTTGAAGAGCTTGAAACCCGATTTTCAGAAGATGTTAGTGTTTGGTGGTCGTGGTGATCTGATCGTGACTGCAGCTGGAGGACATGATGCTCAACTGGATTTCACTTCAAGATTTTTTTGTCCCAAGGCTGGCATTTTAGAGGTAAATTCTGAGATATCCCCATATCTGCAGCTTGAAAACATGGCTGCCCAGTAGGAAGTTGTCTGTCTGTCTCTATGATCAAAATCCCGCCTGTCTCGAGGAGCCCACTGGGATGGGTTCTAGTCCATGGCCCCTAGTTTTCTTCAACCGCTTAATCTCTCTCCTTGCAAAACGAATTTAAAATTATTATCTATTAAACCCTTTTTTCACTTCCTTTTATACCTTTCCCCATCTCCTTGAACGCCGGTAAAACTCTCTCCAAAGAATGGCTCCTTACATTCTCTCCCTCTACCTCTCTGTAAATTTCCATCTTTTCCCTCCCACTCTCTCCCTCTCTCTCTAAATTCCCATCTCTTTCCCTTTGTTTGTCACCAAAATTTTCATCCTTTTCCTCTCAACGCAAAACGTATCTCTCAAATTCTCGTACAGAGACCGACCCATTTGAACCTTCTGAGGGCAACCCATTCGATCACCATTACTGCAACTCCTCCTTCAATGTCTTCTAGGGTTTCGTCTGTTAAGTCCCTTCTCATAGAACCAGATGGTGGGTCTCTGATAAATTTGGTGGTGCCTAAGAATGAGAGGGTTTCTAGGGATAGAGAGGCTTCAAACCTGCCTCATGTCAAGCAGACCCAAATTGATTTAGAGTGCGCTCATGTGATAAGTGAGGGTTGGTCAAGCCCTTGGAGGGTTTTATGAGATACGTGGGTTCATGTGATAAGTGAGGGTTCGTCAAGCCCTTTGAGTGGGTTCATGTGATAAGTGAGGGTTGGTCAAGCCCTTTGAGGGTTTTATGAGAGAGGATGAGTATTTATATTGCCTGCATTTTAATTCTACGAGGAAAATTCTCATCTTGAGAGAAAACCCATTTCTTAAAAGGAAAAGTTTATATAGATATTAGGCTTTAAACAATCAAATTAGAGCTTATATCAAAATTTTCATTAGAAGAGGTTGTTTTGATGTCCAAATATCATCAAATTGATCATCCCGACATTAAGATGCATGAACATGAGAAAAAAATAAATTTCAAGTTCTAGAAATAATGCATTTTGTAACGTATTTTTGGACCGTCAATTTTCAAGATTTTCAAGTTTTCATAGATATGATCAATCCACATTATATTTTAAGCTTTAAAGTTTATAACTAAAGATGAAAATATAATTTAAGGCTATTACAAAACTTTTCAATATTAAAATCATATCTCTCGATACTATTTGAAAGTGGGCTCTAATTTGATTGTTTAGAGCCTCGGCTCTATACAAACCGCTCCCTTTCTCAAATTGACAATTTTGGGGGCCCGTAGAGAGAAAGGGTGGGTAGAGAGCAAAAGAGAGAGAAAGTGGGTTTAAGTAGAGAGAGTGTATTTGGGCATGGAGGGAGAGAAGAATATGTGATTATAAAATAAGAGGAGCATTCAGAGGCAATCCGAGCCGCCCATTCTCGGACCGCCTTCTCGAGTGTTCTTCATGGTGTCGAGGTTGGCATCATCGGATCGCATTAACTCATTTATGTGCTAAGAAATAAGGCGGTCTAAGGATGCCAACCTTGGATCGCCATTTGAGCTGGGCACTGTCGTACTAGCAAAAAAACTAAAAAATAAAAATAAAAAGCGGACTGAGGGTTAATTTTAGAAAAATAGAAAAATACATGTTGACCGACCTTCCACGTAATTTTTACCCAAAATTGACTCATTTCGTATTTTCTTTTTCTTTTAGTGATACATAAATTACTTTGAAAATTATTAAAAACTCATAAAATTTGTAAAAAAATCTCAATAGAAATACATTTTTATATGGTTTGTCGTCTTATGATGATTTGGGAACTTTTTTTATTATATGCTCCAATTTTTTTTTTCTTAAATATTTCAAAATATAGATAATTTTTTTTAAATAATCCATATTTTATATTCTTCTTTTGGGACTTTTAATGATTTCTATTACTTATGTTATTTTTAAAATTTTATGTATGGATACACTTTTCTGCCTTTTTTTTATTGTATGGGGCAATTTTTGGAAAAAGAATACATTGAGGCCACCCCCCACATGCGACCTTTCTCTTTTTCGAATACTTGTCCCATATACAATATTTTCATCACCGTACTGGTGGCAAATACTGCATTTTAAATTTTTTTAATTCATTGTGTCCGATACTTTTCACACCAGACTGGTGAGAAATCTCACATTTTTCATTTTTTTTTAATTCATTGATGCCATACCCAACACCGAACAACCACTTCTATTGACCTATTTGGAGTTTTTAATGCTAGATAGCCCTTTTTTTGAGTTTATGTTGTTCTCTATACTGGATAGGGGTGTGTTTTTTTAGACTATATATCAGACTTCGCTCTGTCCCCTCTGCCTCCCAAACATATTGCCCTCTCTCTCACTAACCCCACTGACCAGGGTTAGTGTATTTGCTAAAGTTCCTGAGGATGTTGGTGGAGAGAGTCTAACAAGTTGGGTGGTGAAGGGAACACAGAGAAGTTTAATGTCTAGTTTTAGAAAACGCACCCCTATTCGATATTGACAACGTCGGACACCCAAGGAAGTGGACTGTCCGGCATTAAAAATACCCAATAAGCCAAAAGAATTCGTTATGCCCTGTTGGGTGTAATGGATAGATATTTAATTATGATTATTATTATTTTTGAGAAAATCAGAATTCTTTACTGTGGAAAATTGCAAATAGGGGGCAGGCAATTATAGCAAAGACATGGGGTCGCCGATGGAGGTGTTCTCGGCATAGTTTTTGCCAAAACATCACCATACCTTATTGAAGGGCGCAAAAATATGTCCGTACATGAATTTTCTTTTAAATGTTTTGCTGATTTTTATTTTCTTTTACTAATTTTTTTATATTTGTAATAATTTTTGGCATTCTAAACTATATATTAGACACGTGCACGCTCCACCAATTCCTCATTGATGAACAGTGAAAGGCAGGTCAATGATCACGAGTTTAATCTTTATGATCAATTATTTGATAAAAAATGAATATCTGATTGATTTGCGGGCTTTGACAGATCACTTTACAACCTTATAACGTATTATAAATAAATCCAAGGTCGATTTGAGATCACAAATTGATAATTTTTTGAAGAACATTTATTGTTTTTTTATTTTTTCACCATTTCATTGATTCCAGACGAATTAGGGTAAGATTTTTTATCATATCCTAGGGTTTTTATTATTGATAGTGTTATTGACTATAAATTGTAGCCCATTTTTACATTTTTTGGTCGATTGCTAATGGATTTTCCATTTGAACTCACAATTTTTTAAGAACAGGTAAGAAATTTTTTTTTTCCCCTTTATTTAATTGATTCCAGTCAATTTTTAGCAAATGTTTTGTTCATATCAAAGGGTTTTTGTTATTTATAGTGTCATTGACCAGAAATTTTAGTCATTTTTTATGATTTTTGGTTGATTTTTTTATTGCTGGTCGATTTACGTTTTTTTTTTTTGCCAAAGTATTGATTTCAAGAGAATTAGGACACCATTATAAATGATTTCAGAGGTTTTTTTGAAAGTATTGATGTTATTCATATGATTTTGGCCATTATTTGTGTGATTAACCCAGGTCTATTGCTCGATTTTGAAGAAATAGATTTGCAGCTGCGTTTTATGCAAAAGAGTTAAAAACTCCGCCAAACTAATGATTTCAGGAGGTTTAGGGCACCATTTTGAATGATTTCAGAGGTTTTTATGATAATGATATTATTAAGATAATTGTGGGTGTTATTTGTGTGATTAACCAAGTTTTGTTGATAGATGTTTGAAGAAATCGTGACAGTTTCACACGAACCCAAAAACCCTAAGTTTCGAATAAATTCTTTTGATTATTATAAGTCGATTCAGATACAAATGAAGTATTCATTTTGATCCTCATTGTTTCAAATTGTATATCTAGTAGTATCATGATTTATTATTTTATCTTTTTTATATAACTTTTTCTTTGAAATTCTATGTGGTTGTCTCTGCAATTTAGGGTTCATCTGCCTATTATTATTTATTTTATTATTATTATTTTTATTATTCATCATCATCATCATCATCATCATCATCATTATTATCATCATTATGATATCATGAAGTTAATTTGTATGATTGAACAAGATTTCTGGGTTGCTTTCGCAAAATACACATTGAAACATTTTAGGGTTTTTTGAGTTATCAATTTTAAATTAATTTGCTGATTAAAATTGTGAATTTTGACAAATATATATTTTCCTTTCTCTCCGCTAAGAATGCCTTTTTTTTTTTTTCTATTTTCTTATAATTATATTCAATTATATGTCATGAATATATAATTATCATGCAAAAAAAAACTTGTATTTTTCAATTTTATTGTCAATTTTTTTAGTGCAATAAAACGTAAGTTCATGATACATGATTAAATTATTCATATTCTTATCCTACAATTTCATTTTATATTATGCTGCAAATATTTTGATTTGGAGCATGCTGGCTTATTACTATAGTTTGATTTATGCAAGAATACTTACTTTTTATAACAACTAACTTGGAATGTAAATTTGGAGTTATATTGATGGATGGACACCCAACTTAAAGAATACATGATCTTTCTTTTACGCATTTCGTTTTGGTATTAGGCTGTTTTTTTGTTGTTGTATGCTCAATTTGGTCTTTGTATTTCTATCATTGATTATTATAAGCTCTTTTTTTCAGTGATATAAATGAATGGCTAACACAACAGACATCAAGACAGGAAAAACAACGTCTCAGACTCTCAGTATTCACCTATTTTTACAAAGTAATGAAAGTACCTAATGGATCACTCCTAATTTCTTTTAGAAACTAAAAAAAACACTATTTTTAGAAACTTATGGTGATTTTTAAATAAAAATTGATAAAAAAAATTGCCCATTTGGCCAACTCAACGTATCCACAGATCCGACACGGGTATGGATGTGAACGAAGATCCACTTTTTTAAACACTTGTTTATGCCCGATGACAATTCCGGCCCCTATGGACGAGGC